CCCCATTCATGGTAATGAGCGTTCGGACTGACAGGCAATAAGGCTCGTGGACTGAAGGCAGCTCACGTTCTTCGATAAGAGAGAAAAGCTCTCGGGACTCATCAACGCTCACAACACGCTCCGCACCCTCAGTCAGGCCGTTTAGGGACATACACATGTGATATTTATTGGTGGCAGTGACAGGTGGAAGCTCCTAGGGAGGCACGAATAATCCAAGAACTGTCCCAAAAGTAGGATCCAAGTTGGCTGGTTTTATCTCTTCAATGGGGGGGAGGGGTATTGAATAATGCGCATTGTAAAAATTAAAATTGGGGAAAAGAAACATGAAAGTAATGAAAGAAAAAAAGAAACAAACAAAGAAAAGAAAAGAAAGACTATTGATGGGGGGGATTTGTTCATATGTTAGCAGTATATTAATTTCATTATTATTTATTATGTTTAAATAAATCATTATTAATAATATTACTTTCCACATTTGTAAATGGCCAATATGCTATGAGAAGAGCCTCGTTAAATCAGCACATTTGTAATGTTTCTGAGATGCGGTGGATGCGGCCGCGTTGGAGTCACAGCGAGTGGAGCCGCTTTTATCGCTTGTTATTTTCAGGTGGGTGAAACGTGTGATTTAAACTGCCGGCAGGACGCGATTACACTTTCGCAGTTAAAGCCTTTGTGCAGCCGGAGCGTCTCAAATGGGAGCGAAGCAATTTCCACCGGTTAGCGAGGCTGACACCTCCGCCCGGCGAGGCTTTCGGAGGTGTCAGCCCCTAATGGAGCCTGGCTACGGGACGCATATCGTCGGGCACCCGCCCCGAGTAAATGGGCCCCTCGCACACCAGCCCTCCACGTAAAGACGTCCATTTCGGATTAGGGGTGTAAGGCAGACTGCTCGATTTCGGGCGTGATCAAAACAAAGGTTGAAATGCCAGCTCCATGCAGATTAATCCCCGAGGAGAGCCGCTTAGCCGCGAGTAAATAAACAGCCGCGCTTCCAGTCGGAGTCTTTAAACCCTTTTCTGCGGCAGGACTCTGCCGCCTAATTAACACGTAGCACTCACAGCAGCATGACTTAGGGACAAACCCAGCATTTACTCTGCTCTCATTGTTAACGACTCTAAAAATGCATTGTCACCAAAAAAACAAACAAAAAAAACACATTAAAAACTGAGAAATGACAATGCAGCAATATAGAATTCATACACAACACTGGCAGAATTACCCAGAATCCTACAATCCTAAAGCTGAATTTGTGTGTGGCTGTGGATAAATAACTTGAGTATTATGTCTCTACATCTTCAAGATATTTAAAACATATTCCGAAGCTGTGTTTGACTGAGTGCTGGGCGCTTGGTAAAAGCAGGTAGATTAAATTCACATACGTGGCAGAGCCTATTAAAATAAACAGGAAATACACAGGGGCTCATTAGGGGGTGACCTTAAGGCTGACTGCGCAGGGGAATAGGGGGCATCACGTCCTGTCCGGCTCCGCAGCGCAGATCTCCTGACAGCGGCGCCTCCTCAGGCACCCCGAGACGAGCAGGATTACCGGCTGTGTCATTTTTTAATTTGCTCATCCTGTCTCCCAACCCGGGGGAAACCCACACACTGCACAGCACGCCCATTGCATTTTTAAAAGCCAGGTATTTTTGTTGCGTCGGATTGGGGCAGAGCCTTCTGGAAATGAGTAGACCTTCTGGCATTCGAACCTGTGACTTGTGGGCGAGGGGGGGGGGGGGGGGTTAGATCCAAGCCTTGCTTTACTCTGCGCCACCTGCACGGGAGGCCTTGAACTTGTCAGAGACGGTGAAATGGAACCTCTGCACCTAACCTGTACTCAGGTCTCCAGATTTCTCAGGTGTCCCAATTATGACTGCCGAAGGAGTCCGAGAAAGGCAGCACATCTCGCAATCTTTTCCCATGTAAATGGGAGACACCCAGAGGCCCCTCGCTGCTATAGCTCAGGAGGAGTCCACATGGATGCAGTCATGAAGGCGTCTCCTGCAGTGCCTGACTGAAATGAGGAGGCTGAAAGTGCTGACAGGCAGGGAGGCTGAGCCGTACAGACCACACAGATGCAGCCGTGAAGGTGTCCACTCTGGTGCCTGACTGAAAGCGAGAAGGCTGAGTGCATGGGATGTACCACACAGATGCAGCCGGGAAGGTGTCCTCTGCAATGCCTGACTGAAATTGCAGAAGGCTGAGCGGTCTACAGAGACTTTACGTCACCGAGTCCCAGGCCCTTTCTGTCCCTCTCAACGCGGCTATTTACTTCCCAGCCTCCCCCTTCACCTCCCCCTCTGCTGGCGCCGCTCCAGGCCCCGTTTCCTCAGTGGACAGCCTGCCAGCTGGCTGTAAGCAAGAGAGCAGTGGGGGACCCGTATAAAAAAAGCCCCCGTTGAGCTCAGTGCAACCACCCCCCCCTTCACAGCTGAGTTCCTTCAGGGGCTCCGCCAGCTCGCCAGAACCCAGCTCCACTGACCTACTTTCCCCAGGCCAGACAAAACCGCTGGGGCCACGATGCTGTTCTTGAGGCCCGGCTGGGGTTAACGCTCATGTATGGCCTGTCTTGTATCCTGCCCGTATGCATGGAGTGTTTGCCACCACTCAAATCACACATTTGTGTGGGGCCCCTGGGGTGTGGGGGCCCCCTGTTGGCCACAAACAGTCACTACATTGAAATGGGGCCCCAGAAATAACAAAGAATGCAGCTGGTTCTGTGTGGACTGGAGGCCAGACCAGACTGGACCCTTTGCTTGTAACTCAGTTTGTCCACCCTGAGCGGACTGATCTTACATGAGGTCCTTTCAGAATAATATGATGTCAAAAAAACAGGAGGAAGGTTTTCCGAAGGTAACCCTGGTTACGTATTAAATCATGCATGAGCTTTGTTACACGGCACAAAGGATACTACCCCTCACTCATCTGGGGCACCAACCCACCAACCTAAAAACATCTTACAGGATTTATAAATATTTGAGTCAATCTTATAGAAACTCATTTCAGTGACATCAAGCTGAGCCAACGCTTCTCCACGTCTAAGAAACGGAAAACCCAAGCGAGTCCTAGCAGTGCGCAGTGGGGCCACCCAAACCAGCTGGACCACTGCAGACGGACCCAGCTGCAAGGTTTCTCAGGAGTCGGCGCATGTCAGCTCAGTTCCTCAGAGAGGCACGTTTCGGGCAGCCCCGGCCAAAGATGGAGTCTGCGGGGTGTACGGACTTGGCTTCCCAGAAGCCCCAGGAAGCGGTTACAGGCTCACGCCAATGGGAGGAAACGTGTCACCACAGGAAGCTGAAGCTGATGCCTTCTTCTCAGCGTCTATTCTTGCACTCTTGTTTCCTGGATCCTCTCCAGAATTAAACCACAGCTGTCCTGCTTTCTTGTTCCGTTGACCTGTACTCGACCCGCAGGTCAGATTGCACACTGAAAGCCAATCAGAAGCCACCATTCGCCCATCACCGATGGCTTTGTTAAGTTAGTCCTTTCCTTCCTGAAACTGCATCTTTTAGATTGTCCTTGATAGTTTGTTTTGTGTTTTCTCCCTACCCCCTTGTGATGAAAAAGGGGAAATCACATAATAAGTTTGAATCCTAGGGAGACTGGGTCACTGGCCCCAACTGAAAGCTGATTGGCACACAGAGTGCCTCCTTCCCTGTCACTCACAAAATTTCATTGGCTAATGATAAGGTTGGTCCCTCTGTATGAATTACAGCCCCTCCTACACGCACAACCTTTAAAAACCCTAGAACTGCTCCGGTCGGGACCTCGTTCCTAACGTCCTTGTCGGTCCAGTGCGGTCCACCTGGCCACGACCTTAAGTCCACCGGGGTTTTCCCACACTGACATCTGCACTGACGCATCACGACGGTAAACAATAAAGTAACGCAACTCTAACTAAAGGACAATGCAAGGGAAGCGTGGGAAGTGTATCACATGGGTTAAAGCCCAGGGTATCTACAAAGCAGATAGAGATTCCAGTAAAAACCTTCACTGGTCCAGTTCTCCCCAGCTATCGTGTGATGGTCTCTCCAGCATCACACTTTATTGCCACAGCTGCACATTCTTGGTAACCTGCTTGTTAAAACATTATTCAGGCTTTTAAAGTGACATTTGATGACCCCTTAAAGACCCAAACCTGAATCCTACTCCTTCCATAAATATTGTATTTTCCAGGAGAAAAGTCACAGATGTGATACGGCGGCACTTTCACAACTTTCTGGCTCTGGTGCATTTCATCCCGCGTCCCTCTTTTCTTCCAACTGCGCCCCTCTCTCCTCTTGCCTTGATGCAGTACGAACATGTGACCCCCCCGTCCGCCGACCCGTCATGTCGACCCCATGGGAGAGACGGTCAGGCTGTTTCAGAACTGGATCTGTTAATGTGGGTCGGGGGCGGGGAGGCGGCTCATTTTACAGATGAAGAAGTGGCTTTTTGCTGCGACGTCACCGGCTGCGTGGGAGCTGCGCCGGGTTGCCGCCCCCATGCCGGTGGTTCCCGCCGCATGGCGCCTTCAGAGCGGGACGTGAGAGTGTGATGTGAGAGGCACATGTGCTACGTTACACTATATATAAACCTGCTCCAATCGCTGCACACATGCACACACACACACAGACACATCCCAACCTTATCATTAACCAATGATATGTTTTGATTTGACATTGATTGACAGGGGAGGGGGGCAATCAGCTTTCAGCTGAGCCAGTGCCCCATTGGCCCTGCCCCTGTTTACACCACTGCATATGATGACTGTACATCTAACTCCCCTCCTTCAGGAAAATACATTCCCACCCTTGTCCGGTAGCTTTTTTGGTGAGTAAAAAACGTAGACGGATCACCAGACGTGAAGATCATGTTCTCGTAACATGGAGGCAGGCATTCCTGGTTTCAGGGAATCTTACAGACTCTGGCTGCATAATGAACTCGGAGTCTTCACAGTCAGTGCTGTCAGTGCTGTGGGGAGTGTTTACTCGGCGGGAAGGGGGGGGGGGGTGGATACTTACTGATTCCGCTCCACCTGCAGCACCAAGTCCCTCCCGTCAGCTGTTAGCGCTATCTCGCCGCTGTCCGGGAAGAGGTCCTGGAAGTAGAGAGGCTGGTAAGGGGTCTTATCGTGCACAGAGTCAAATAGACACACCTTCTCTGTGAGAGCCAGAGAAGGCTGGTGCTGCACTGTGCTTCTCACAAAAACCACACTTTCATCAAGGCCACAGCAGCACACAGCGTTACCGCACACGCGTACGCATCCATAGAAAAGCTCCAGTTCTCCGCGACACACATCACAAAGTGCTCATCCAGCTGGATTCACACGAAGAACACAACAGAAAACACGGCTTCAGAAGCTGCCGCCCAGCGCAGCCCCTGTTAGTAGATGACCATATACTAGCTTATTGTGGCTATTTTGAAATGCCAGCTTTTTATATTGACAATAAAAATCGTAACCGCTTTGAACTTTCCCCAGCATTGCCGGAACCGCGGATGACACACGGCTATATTCCGATGAGTGACAAGTCATCTTTGTTCAATAGAGTCCCTCAGAGTGACTCACAGCGACCGTAATCTCTCCCGGCGAAGCGCCGACGGAAGATGACAGATAGATACGCGGCGGTCACGTCGGCACCTCCCATCGAGAAAGAATATCTCTGTATGCAAGATAAGCTCTTTAATCAACGGAACATGGGCAGATCCTTACTAGTTCGTAAATTAAAAAGAAAAAAAAAAACCCGACTGAACACCTTGATGAATTCCCCGCACCTGCAGATACTTCAGCGGTGGACGTGCCCACCTGCCATGTCAAAATAACTTACAGGGGGGGGGGGAGATCTTAGGTGAATGTGAATGAAAGTGAACACAAGGGAATAACACAACAATAGTGAAATGCGTTCCGTGTTCGGGATGACCTGAGGTATTTATCGATCCTGCGGTTCTCTATAGTCCGTGTGTGTTTTTCCTCTGTTCTATATTTCATGTTCTGTGCATGAACACTAAAAGCACAGATGTGTTGGTATCTTTCATTTCTCTCCTTTGTGCTCCCATGTTCCTTCAGTTGTGACGTTCCGGAATCCAGCAAACATGAAGCCCCTTTACGGCCTGGCAAAGAAGCAGAGACCTCGTTATAAAACAATCATTTCACATTTCTGCACTCATTCTTTCTGGAATATCGGCTCAGGAACCACACGCGTTGGATCTTGAGTCTGCTCCCAGCAGGGCGTGAAGGCGGAAATACAGATCTGTATCCCTTTGCCTTCCAGAGCGTTTCCCTAGAAAGCCGTAGCCTATATACGCAAGAGATCAGATGCGTGGGTTCAAGGCTTCCTCGCCTGAGCAGCTGGCTCTATGAAGGAGTTTCATTTCAGGAGTCTCTGTTCATAAATCATCATCTGACAATGGCCCCTGCTATCGTTGCTCTGCAAGACTGGGAGAGGCAAGAAGATCGTCAGGGTTTGAGCACAGAATCCAGGTCACAGAAGCCTATGAGAAATGCAAAAAAAAGGTATTCTGTTCCTACATCAAGACCTCAGCTGAATGCTGGGGATAGCTCACCTTTGTAGTTTTGATATCATGCTCTACACAGGAACCTGTTGAATAAAACATCTACCTCCCCATTACAGGCTTCATCTCTCACGCCTCATGCATCCATCGTGCATTAGCAAGGTACTGCGATGACAATAATTACAAACTGAACCCTTCAGGTTCCTGCTCAGTCCCTCCAAGGTACAGAAGACATTGGACGCGATGGATGACGTAGTGTCAGGCGCAGAATACGTCACAACAACATCTAAAGTCTAAAAGCTTTCAAACAGCTTTCTCATATCTCAAAACTCAAGTACGAGTGTCTTTCAATTGCCAAAAGAGTCAAGAATAGAGCAGATAAGCAGTTCATTTAGTCTGCTGATCAGAAGGACAGATGGTTGAGTGACTCACCCCCCCCCCGGGACCACCCCCCCCCGCCTTCCCCGCCTGTCCTCATGGGAACTTGACTACTAGCATGAATGTATAGGATCTACAGAAATGTCTTTTCTCTCCTTATATCTGCCAGCTATCTCCAATGGCAACAAATTCATGATGTACATTTAAAAATCATGACATAATGAAAACAGTACACCAGCCTGATTAGTGTATTCCTCAAACTTTCAGTAAGATCTTACTACTGGGTTCCCGAATTCCGGTCCTGGAGGCCAGTCTGCAACACACTTTGCAGGTTTCCCTGCACAGACACGCCTTGTTCAGCTCCCCAGCCAATTGCCTGGTTTAGTAGGTGGGTTAGGGTTAGGGCTGGGTATTGTGACCAATTCGGCGATTCGATTCGATTCTTATTTTTATGGTTTTGATTCGATTCGATTTCAATTCGATTCGATATCGATTAGCTATCAATATTTCATTTAAAATGTTAGTTTTGCAGACATGGGATCCATATTTTGATATAAATGCTGGTAACTGAAACTCTCCTACTTAAGTTTATTACTGAAATACACATCTACATTAATAATAGGGTGCACACAGTTGTTTATTTTAAACAACTTTTATTTTAAATGAACACTGTAACTAGAAGTCATAAATATGTTTTTAGTGGAGCAATTCGAAAGATGGCGACACCTTCAGGACGAGAGGTGAATATTCATATCCTCTTACGTGAAGCACGCGCATTAAGAATCGATTCGGGGATTTCCCGAATCGATATCGTTGCGTTAAACTGAAGATCAATTAAAATCGGAGAATCGATATTTTTTACCCAGCCCTAGTTAGGGTTAGACTGGTTGCAGACCAGTTCTCCAGGACCAGAACTGAGGAACTCAACCTTTGCTACAAAACGCCAACCTAGATCGAAATACTAATCACGAACAGATTCCTAGAATATTTGTCCCGTTTTTGAGAGAGCACAGCAATCATCATAACCTTGGTAAAACTCAATGAATTATTAGAGCTTTCAAGAAGATCTTCATTCATTGTCCTATCAAATCTGAGTGGTGCATCTACAGTAATACAGTTAATACTGTTAACAAACATGGCTGATGTACTGAATGCAAATGAGTTAATTTGCCATCATAAGCAAATATATGAGGAAAAATGTTTTGCATTTCACGGCCTCCACCAAAAGTTAAGGAGGCTCTCTGCACTGCCCCCAGTTCATTCTCTGTGACGACATCCCCGGAACGATTCTCCGAAAGTGTCCCGTCAACACAGCGGCTTAAAATAAAGGCAGCAGAAGAGTAAGAATCAGCTTCCCCTGCCTGACAAGGCATGTTAGCGATTTATAATGAAAATGGAACCATCTGAAGACATCTAAAATCTCTGTGACCACTGTTCCTCTTTTCAGTAAATTCTCCGTTGAGCGTTTTGATTCCTTGTAAATAGATGTAGCTAAATATAGGAGAATCGGTGGACTCGCACCTTCCGGCTGGGTACTCTGCTTTAACCCCGCAGTGCAAAGATTTGCAGTGCAAAGTGGTGTTTCTACAATGTTTATGTGTATGCTGGGCCGGATTCGGGCATAGGACAACCACACATTTGCCGAGGGCCTGATTGGCACAAGGAGGCATAGACAAACTCAAGGAAAAAAAAAATATATATTCATATATAAAAGAATAATTACACAAAATGAAAAACAATTTTAAACCCATATTAATCAAATGAAAATGTTTTTTATGCAGGCAGCGACACAGCCAGCTCTGGATATACGTAGAATAGGCAGCTGCCTAGGGACCGAAATTACCTGTGTTTTGGGAGAAGTGAAATCACCATCAGTGTTCCTGAGGTACCTCCCAAGTAAAGTTCTGCCCTGGGCCTCTGACAAGGCAGTGCATGTGTGTGTCCTGATGGGCTGTGTTTGCCTCGCCTCTACGTCACTTTGGGCAAAAGCACCTATTAAATAAAGTAGATATAATGACTCATCCAAGAACTTCTCATTTATCGCGTCCTATGCTGCCTGTGTTAGGTCCAAGGTCCCCAATACTGTACATGCAATTGGAAAACAGATCGATAGATAAATGAAAGGTTCTCTGTTGCCCTGAGCCAGTGGTTCTCAGTCCTGTTCCTGGTGCGCCCCCCCCCCCTCACTAGAATTCCAACCCTACTTTAATCAGGCCCAGATGGTCCTTAATAGGCTAATAACGAATGTGGCAGGTTGAAAGCAGTGTGGGTTGGAATGAAAACATTCTGGCAGAGCGGGCACCAGGAACAGGATTTGGAAGCAGTGACCTAAAGCTGGCAGCATATATTCCTGATAGCCATATTACTGGGAGCTGTGAACTTCAGCAGAAATGCACCCTTGCTTACTAGAGAGGGGCTGGTCAGACTGCACCCTGTCCACATATCCCCCGGCGTCCAGCCCTGCTCCTGCCCAATTTGGTGAATATCATAAAGATCTGAACGTGCTACTTATGACTTATTTCGCATCTGGCCTTAACACCCACGCACGATCCCACTGGTCGCACGGCATTCAAATAATTACGCTGCCCAAGCCCGCTTGCCGGGGGGGGGGGGGGGGGGGATTACGCTGCCCAAGCCCGCTTGCCGGGGGGGGGGGGG